TTTCAGTTCTTAGACCTGAAAACATACATACTTTGAACAATTGTAATGCTGTTGACATGCAGCTGGGGTAGCGATAAGAAATATTAATAACAAAACTTGATATGCTTATGAAGTATATAGAGGTTATATGTCATGAAAACCTCATCTACACATAATGCTATGAAAATATACCATTGTGTCCTCATATTTCCTTAGTAGAGATGTATGCTTTGTTTTGAAACTACACGTTTTGAGACAAGCTTTTCCATGTATGAGGCTCTCACTCTTTACAGTTTTTCAAAACCTTTTTTTCTCACAGTAATAGTAAAATGAATACTACTTTATTACCTTTTATTACCTATTGTTATAAGCCCTCTGTTTTTTTATTGTATTTCACACAATTCTCTTAAATGTGGCTACTTTCAGACATAAGCTTGAGGCTGTTTAAAAAGGAGGGCAAAAAAGAGTTAGTTTTTACTTTAAAGGAAGGACTAGCATCCTATTTTTCTCTCAGCTTCCAAGAAGAGAACAAATAGCAGGTCTGTTATGTGGCAGGGGGTTTAATGTAGCTACCAGCAGTCATGTCTTTCCCTTTTTAAGAATCCAATGTAACACTGCCTGTTACTCTACTCTATCTTCAACAGTGGTACAAGTAGAGAAAAACTGTGATGAACCTGGCTCATTCTGTGTGAGAGGATAGTTGTATGGCACAACCAAGGACCTGCTTCACTGAAGCAGATAAGAAAATCCTTTCTTGACAGTGCTAGCACTTATCTAAACTTATCTACAGCAAAAACCCTCAAAGCACTGAGGTTTTCACCTTTTTCTCCCTATCTTGTGTGCACTGTTTTTAGTTCTTAATGCTGATTTTGGCAGAGCCAAGACTTATGTGACCTTGCACAAACTGTTGAATTTCTCTGAGCCTCAAATAAATTAGTTGAGCAACTGGATTAAAACAGGTAGGAACGCTAAAAAGATTTCCAGAAAGCATTATACTTTGAGGTAATATGAGGGGAAGTGGTGAAAAGAAAACTGGGCAGGATGCAGATTCCAAACAGATCATCAGTGTAACCTTTTCAAAGGAATTACTTATCAGAACTCATAATATGTCTGTCCCTTTCTGTGCACGTATGTTTATGCATCTACATATGACTGAGAGAACACTGAAGTAGTTCAGATGTATTGAAGGATAATTTATAGCCTTAAATACAGTAGTGAACTAGTCTTATGCCAGCATGAACAACATGTAGACAATTGTTTACTTAGTATGAAAATTTCTGTAATGATGTATGTATGTGAATAAATTGGTTGAAGGCAAAGTCTAAACCAGTCATAGAGAGTGCAAGCAGTGATTCCTGTGCTGGATCTGTTAATGAAGAGGTACTTGGAATCAATTGAAGGTTTTTGTTTCGTTTTTGTTTTATTATAAGCTCCAAGGCTCCCTCTTCCATCAGGGAAGGAAAGTGGAACCTGATACACCTATTGGCAGTTGCATTTGGAAATGTAGTCAGGGTATGAATATTACTTCAAAGATGATTCCTATAACTCTGTAAATGTCTGGAATTTCTGCTTTTCCTTGTAAAGTAAATTAGCCAATAGTATTTTCTGAGCTTGCATTTCCTTTTTTCACTTTAAGAAAAAACTGAAGTCTTGAATTCATATTCTATGACTAAAGCTTATTTTCAAATTCTTTTGCATCATATAAGTACAAGTTAAATTACTTTGAGACATAAATAAAGACAGACAGTTCCACTTGACCTTTCTGGCTAGAAAATCAGAAGCAATTCATGTCATGACCACTGTTCTTACTAAAAGCAATAACGTTGCTTTAGCAAGGCAGTATAACCTGTCAAATGTAGATAAGGGACTGCAGAGTTTAGACAGTTATTAGTCAGGATTTTGGGGAAATTAAGCTCCTGTAGGTACCTATAGTAGCTCATCTGTGTATTCTATTCACATGAGGAGAGCAGGAGGAGCAGACCATAGTTGAGACCATAGTTTAGAAATTAACTGATAAACAGAATATTTTGTAATTAAATAGATTATTTCTCCAGACCCTAAGCTTTGTATGTTCTTGGAAAGGAACACAGAGAGAATTTACCTTTATATTTTCCAATTTCTGCTGGCATTGAAATCAAAGGGCTTTGCAGGTGTTAGAATATCTCTGACTGTTTTTGCAAACTTCACAAGAGAGTTGATTTAGTTTTATTATTTTATTTAGCAGTTGGGACAGCTCACACATAATAAATATATATTATATATATAATATATATATAATATATATATACATAAATAAGCCAATATGATGTTGGCAGGTAATTTAACAGGTTATCAGATGATTATTTATTAGTAAATATATGGAATCACTCTTCTAATCTGAAATTATACTGTTCAAAGAAAGCTCTTGCCCTTCCAAAGATCTCTTGTATGTGGCTGGGGAGGACTCTCTTTACCTTTTTGTAGTGTGCTGAGACAAATCACTGTTCAACAATGTGACTTTGCTTTCTGTCTTTCTTGTTCAAACACAGTCAAGCTAGATATCAGTTCTCTTTCACATGTCTTTATGAGCCAAGTGGCATAAGGATCATGATTCTGTCAATAATGAAAGTTAAATCGTGAAAATGTCATCATATTGACCCAGCACTGAGGTACATGCCAGAGGGACTCCTCTGTGAAGGTGACTGTCAGTCAGTCAGATGCTGATTCCACACCTTAGGACATTAAAGATAAGATATTTAAAATTCAAACCTTTTTATCTGTAGAGGAAGTTAGGAACATAAAAAAAATCAAATTCGAATATACAATACCTGTCAACAGTTGCTGACTAAGACGACTGGTTTCTGCTACTGATGTTTGTTTGTCATGTTGGTAGAATCCCAAGGGTAACCCTGAAACCCCAACAAAAGTTTCAAATAGGATTATCCACTTAATCAAATGTACTGTTGTGGGATATCTACCTTCTTTCTCTTCTTAAACCATCAGGTGATCCAAAGCCTTGAAGCTAGTCACTGTAAAAGATTATCAGTGAATGAATATTTCTACCATCATCATTTCAGTATGGCAAAGAGTTTCCAGGTTAATCCCTTGAATTTTAGTAACACTCCTATAGTTTTAACATATAAACATTATTGATTTAATAATAATTTGCAAGTACTGTAGGCTTGATAGCATTATTGATAATTACCATAGTAGAAAGTAAAAAACAAAACTATCCTTTCAAATAAATAGATGTACAGATGACATTATCTTATTTTGCTGATAGTAGATTACCATTAGTTATATTTCTTTGTGAAAATGGACAGTGGTACCTTTGAAATAAGCAATGTCATGCATACTTTTTTCTTTACATTAGCTGAGTCTAGAGTTTTCAGAAGAATTAACGCATGATCTTTCAGCTTTCATGCCTTTGTGCTATCCCAAGACTCTTAAAGCTAGGAGGATTGATAAGTTCAGCATTTTGCTCATGTAACATGGAGAAATCATTTACAGAGATGATTTATGAAGTTGCAGTGAAACAGTTCATAAAGGATAATGTCTTTCTAGTTTGAATTCACTTGCTGTTACATAGAGAAAGCTTTGGCATTTGAAGGAAAAGTCAGATGTAGTGTCATCAATTTATAACTGCCTATCTGAATATGAGGCAGAGGGAATGCCCCATGAAACATTTTATTTCTGGGAGCGCTATCTTCCCTGATAGTTAAACTTAATCACTCATAGAGGAAGGAGGAAGACATTTGGCAATTAGCCACAGATTTGTGATTGTGCTTAGGGATGGCTGGAAGAAAAAATGAGACACTAAACTATACAACATTTCTGTGTCTACAGAAGAGGTAATTCATTCAAGAATAGGACTCTAATTCTTCTGTCTTAGATATATTATAATGACATAAAATGGGAAGCTTGAGATAAGCTTACCAACTTCATTCCCAATTCAACATTCAGTGACAATAAGATTAGGATATATTTTCCTCTTATCAGTTGACTTGATACTTTTCTATATGCACTGAAATGAAAGCTATTACAGTGGTCCCCGGATATTTGAATCTATTTCCATCCCCCTTTGCTCTTCCACGTTTTTCTTACTAGTTCTGATTCAAATCTCAGCACAGTTCTCTCAGATTAAAACCAGCTCAACCAGATCCTAACTATCGGCTTGACTGTACATTGATTTTGGGAGCAAAACTGCCTGTTCCTGCTGCTCCTGCTCTAGCGATCGTGGGAAGCAGACAAGTAGCTAATAACTAAGACACTAATAAGACAAGCAATGATCTCCAGGGAGGAAGAATATTTTCTTTTCCTTTGCAAGTTCACAGTTGTGTCTTTAAAAAAGTTTGAGGTACTCAGCTGGATTGAAGAGAAGTGGGGCATACTGTGGCAGGTAGGGAGTCAGCTGAAATGACATATAAAGAGGGATTTGTTAAATTATCAGTGAAACATGTAAGTTCTTCTGTGTGCAGAAGTAGAATAACAAGTCTTCAGGGACACACCTGAAGATCTGTGAAGGGTAATTGGGACTAGTTGTTGCATTAAGGAGCTGGACCAGACAACATCTTGCCTTCTAAAGCGAGTAGAATGCAAAATCAAAGTGAAACTTTATATATCAAAGAGAAGATAGCTTTTCTTTCACTTTCTTCTTTTAACTGTGAACTTCTCTGAATAGACAAATTGTACGTCTGGTATCTTGACTACTGTATTGGTATCATTTGAAAATATGCTACATAAACTTTGCTTAGATTGTCCCTATAATGTTTAGAAGAGTAAGTATCACATTTTCCTGATGTGACTATGTGCAAATACTAGAGATGTGTGAGAAACAAGCAGAAAGAAGGCAAATTCAACCTAATCCTTAGAAGAATATTACTTTGGCTTAGTGAAATACATAAATTAAGAAATTTCAATAGCAATAAACTCTACTACTATGATGAAGAAAATTATGAAGTGGATTATAATTCACACATAAAGTAGGCTGAGCTAGATCTCCAAGGGAACATCATTTCAGTACCTCCTAGCTAGTGATTAGGACATTTACTGGTGGTGGATGATGAAAGTCAAGGTATTTCAGTACACTTAACATATAATTGAAATACTGAGCAGCTGTTGGTCATAGACAATTCAGGTTTGTGAAGGGAAAGACCTGTTTAGGTAACTTAATTGTCTTTTATGACAAAGTTACCCACCTAGTTGGCCAATGGAAGCCAGTAGATGGAATCTTTTTGAATATCTGCAACGCCTTTTTCCATCTCTCACTGTATCATTTTGGACAAAATGTTCAGCATATAGCTGAAGGGAGGCCTTATGGCAGCTGCAGTTCCTCACAGGGTGCAGAGGAGCAGCGCTGAGCTTTGCTCTCTGATAATAGCGACAGGGCCTGAGAGAATGGCACGGAGCTGTGTCAGGGGAGGGTGTTGAGTGTTATGAAAAGGTTCTTCACAGGAGGGTATTTGGGCTCTGAAACAGGCTGCCCAGGGCAGTGGTCACAGTCCCATACTGTGGGCGTTCAAGGAACATTTGGACATTGCTCTCAGACATAGGGTTTGAATATTGGGTGTTCCTGGGTGGAGACAGGAGTTGGACTTGATCCTTATGTGTCCCTTTCAACGCAGCATTCAGTGGTTATTTGAGTAGGCAAAGAATAGCTGTTTTACCCTTGGTCTAGATGAATGCCTAAATTCTAGCTTTTCAGTCATGTCTTGTATGATTCAGCCATGAAAATGACCTATGATATCACAGTTAAAGAAGCAGCTAGTGAAGATACTTTTTTGTGATAATTTGGGATATTTTAAAGTGTTTGCTCCTGTTTTAATCAACCACACACAAAACCTACCAGATGTCTTTAAGATTACAGATGAGCATTTACTCTCTCCTAACCAGAATACTGATTGGATCTGTCCATATTCTGTAGAAATATTTTTCATTTTTGTCCTGATTTCAGCTGAAACAGAGTTGATTTTCTTCATGATGTTTGGTATTTTGGTTTTAGGAGAAAAACAATGCAGATAACACATGGATGTTTCAGTTGTTGCTGTGCAGTTATTCATAGAGACAAGGACATTTTAGTTTTTCAGGTTCTCATACTGACCTGCCAGTTAGGGGAACTGGGGACACAAGGAGCTGAGAGGAGACAGCACCAGGACAGCTAACATAAACTGGTGAAAGGGATATTCTACCATATGCCATAATGTGAAAAAATAATAAAACTAGGGGGAAGATAGGGAGGGGCCCCCGCCCAAAGGCACTGTTCAAAAGATAATGAACAATTGTTTTGTGTATAACTTGTTTCAATTATACATATATATATATTTATACATATTATAACTGTTACTTCTCTTTCTTTTGTCTTAGTAAATAGTTTTTATCTCAACCTTTTTTTTCCCCCCATTCTGTACCCTACCATACAGGGATGGAAGAAAAATCAGTGAAAGACTCTAGTGTTTAGCTACTCCACATTAAACCATAACTATTTTTTAAAAAATCATTTTTAACCACAAATTTCATTTATTAGGTCACTGTTCAACGATGAAAATGTAGAGTATTTCTTGTACCTAAAATTAACAATGAAGATAAATTATGCATGTTGTAAGATCAATAAGTATACAGAGAAGTTAGGCTAGTAAGATTATCATACTGGAAAAGATAATCAGAAATAAATGAAAGGCACTCACCAGTGTTGTAGGCTTGCAAGAGACTCCAGAAGGAGCAATCTCCAGAAAAAGAACCTTTTTCAGTGGCAGTCAGCCCTTAAATTGAGCCTAGGAGAAGTGGAGCCAGGCTCCACCCCTTCCGGTCACACAGCTGAATTGCCTTCCCCTGTGCTCCCACAGCTCCGCACTTGCCTCAGGTGATCAATCAGAGGTTCAGGCTGTGATTCAACAGTTCCAATACAGTATGTGAAAGGACTATGGTATCTCTGGGTTTAACAATTTACTTTGATTAAACAATATAACTTCTTGATGTTTACTTTCAAGAACTCTCCTGACATGCTTTGATGGGGTATTTGACGTTTATTGATCACTAACCACTTCAAACAGTCATTATGTCCTATGGAGGATAAAGGGCTGTGTGAAGAAAAAAAAAAAAAGCCAGAGAAAGTTATGTACTTACAAAACAATGAGCTGTTTTGAGAACTGCAGGTGGTGTGCAGGCAGCCTTTTGGGCGGCCTTACAATGAGGAGTTATGAAGGTAGGACTTGAAGTTATGAAGGAATTATGAGTAGTTATGAAGGTAGGACATCTACTGCTTGACTTGATGAGTTTCAAATCAGGAAGAGGGCACAGAATATTTTGGTAGGAAGTGTGTATGCTCAGCAGAATTGTTTATCACTTCCTCTTTAGAAGAAATATTTTTATCATTTGGATCACTTGTCTCAGGTCCTAAAAGTGGGCCTTTTAAATAACCATAAAAATATATGGGTTACGGTCTTTCTCTGTGGTCCATGATGAAAGCATCAGATAAAATAGGACGTGAATAATGTCCTTTTTAGTATTCTGATGTGGCTGTTTGCATAAAACCTTCAAATCTAGAGCATTTCATGGTTATTCAAAGACCATTATTGGTATTTCTTGGTGATCTTTTATTCAGAACAATAAGAGAAGATTTGCAAAATTATAAGGAGAATAGTTGGCTGAGTTAGTTTTGTTTGCTGCTACTATTTTTTTTTTCTAATGAAGGTGATAAATTCTTAAGGGGAAAAAAAAGCAGGTTCTAGTTCTTTCAGGCTTTACTTCCATACATATGTCTGGGAGACATCTCTCCTTTTTCTTCCTTTTCCCTCTGCTTACCTGTCACATCAATGACTATGGTAGGTACTGTTATATAAATGGCTCTTGGGGATGACCTGAAGGAAGTAGCAAATGATTTTGTGCCAGAAATCCTGCATGTATGCATGTACAGAAAACTGCATGTTTCATCTTTGTTCCTCATGAGACCACATTCTGTTTAGCATGGTTGCTAAAAGAATGGAAATAATACTAAAGATACATTGTTTCTCTGATAATAGAAAAATAAAATAATT